GATCCCCCAATATGGACTTTTAAACAAGTCTGTTGCGGCGTGCAACTCGATCCTCCAATATATCCATTTATCAATTCTTATAGAAGAAATTGCCCTAATAAATGCAACAATTAATATAAAAAATTTAAAACAACAAGCATACAATAATTATAATTAAATTATGAAATAAATAATGATAAATAATAATTTATTGTGAAAATTAGATAGGCAGTTTACTATTTAATATGCTAAATGTCAAGTAAAAATTAATGCACATAAATCAAATTAGTATGTAGCAATTATTGCAGAAATTCAAAAATTAATATTTGACAAAGAATACGAGAGAAACAATTATCATAACAATTAATTTGTATATTAAAATAAATTTAGGATTTCAAATAATTATGCAAATAATTAATTTGACGACGTATAGACACTCGTCACCTCACCTATATGTCGTTCACATGTATTTCACATAATAAATAATTTAAGGGTTCTATTCCCTCAAGTCAAGGTTAACCATGACACTTATCTCGCTTTGTAATTTCAATCAATTACTCGACCACAGCTTTTCCTTTTAAATTTATCTCCAAAAGCTTCAAATCTATTCACAAACAATTTGATATACTCAATACGAATCATAGGAATTAATTCCATATGAATTTACTATTTTTCCGGATAAAATCCAAAATTCACTTTAAAAATTGACAGTGGGGCCCATGTCTCGAATCTCAAAAAAACTTATGAAATTCGAACACTCATTCCGAGACGATTCCAACCATATAAAAATTATCAAATTCCGATATCAAATGGACCTTCAAATCTTAAATTTTCGTTTTTGGAAGATTTTATAGAAAACTGATTTTTCTCCCAAAATTTTACGGATTTATGATATAACTGAGTATGAAATCATTAAATATAATTAATATAGGATAAGAAATACTTACCCCAATATTTTTCCGTAAAAATCGCCCAAGAATCGCCTTACCCGAGCTCAAAAATGGAAAATAGTTGAAAATGGGACCCTCGCGTTGGCGAAGCACAAATTTGTGCTGTCCAAATTTTACTCTTCGCGAATGCGAGGGCTTCCTCGCAAACGCGAAGCTTGCCTGGCTTGGCCTTCGCGAAGGCAAATTTCTCTCCGGTCATTTTTCCTTCGCGAACGCGAAGCTTTGCATCTTGACCCTTCGCGAACGCGTTCCCTCTGTCGCGAACGCGAAGCACAAAAATATGCCGGTCCAATTTGCTCTTCGCGTTCGCGAGAGTTCCTTCGCGAACGCGAAGAACAACACACCAGAAGCCTGAAGTTTGCAGAAACCAGATTTTTCAAAGTTCGAAATCATCCCGTGGCCTATCCGAAACTCACCCGAGCCCCCGGGGCTCCAAACCAAATATGAGCCCAAGTCCTAAAACATCATACGAACTTTCTCACGCGATCAAATCACCAAAATAACACCTAGAACGACGAATCGGACACCAAATCAAAGAAAATTTTCAAGAAAACTTTAAAACTTATATTTTCACAACCGGACGTCCGAATCACGTCAATTCAACTCCGTTTCTCACCAAATTTGACAGACAAGTCATAAATATTATAGTGGACCTATAGCGGCCTTCGAAACTAAAATACGGACCCGGTGTCAATAAATCCAACATTAGTAAATTCTTAAAAATCATTAAACTTTCAAACTTTTAATTTTTCACTAAGATTTCATATCTCGGACTAGGGATCTCAAAATTCAATTTCGGGCATACGCCTAAGTCCCAAATCATGATACGGACTTATCGGAACTGTCAAAATACTGATTCGAGTCCGTTTGCTCAAAATATTGACCAAAGTCAACTCAGTTGAGTTTTAAAGCTCTATTTCATATTTTAATCCATTTTTCACATAAAAACTTTTCGGGGAACTATACGGACTGCGCACGTAAGTCGAGGAATGATAAATAGTACTTTTCGAGGTCTTAAGACACAAAATTAATTATTAAATTTAAAGATGACACTTTGGGCCATCATAAAAAAAACAAAAACAAAAAGTGAATGATAAAAAGTTTATTTATATCTATATTATATTAAAAGCACGAAGACACTTAGCGAACTATAGTTTATCTTTTTTACCCTTTTAAAAATAGCTTTCATACTGGACAAAATCGTCAGTTAATTATTTTCCTTGTAATGAGGAATAGTCATTTAATTATTTTTTTAATATTTAGGATTTCAAAATCAACTAAATTTATGTATTGAATTCTTCCTTATTTAAATTATATAATATAAACATATTTGCAAAGGAAAAATAATAATAATCAAAAAATTTCTTATTAAATCATTCCGTGTAAGAAGGCTTAATATTTAAAACATCAACTAAGACTTTTCCTAAAATTGTCCGCTATCTTTTTGCTTAACTTGGGCAACAATCTGCACGTGCATTTCTCATAATTTATATGCAGTTATTATTTACTTTACATAGAAAGAATAAAATAAGAGTTTTTTTTTCAACAAGGAAACTTTAGAACTTTGAAATTAATAAAAGATTTGTCATTTAATTATTTTTTTAATGTTAAGACTTTGAAATCTAAAATTTTTTAATAAATATTTTTATTTAAACTATGTAAGAACTTCTAATATTTAAAATTTTAAAATTGAGTAAAAATATATTTGTAAAATTTATTTCGTTATTTACAATGCACAAAGTAATTATAGTTTGCCAATCTATAAAGTAGGATTAAAATAGAATCATCTCATTAATCTTGTTGGGAGTGGAATAACTTGTCCCACTTTACATTTCAGAATTCAGATCAAGTAGGAAATTTTTACTTCGGGTCTTTTTGAAAAGCCATCGGATAATTAAAATTGGTGTAATTTTTATGGTAGTAATTACACAGTATTGTAATTACGAGACTAATTTATTTATCATAATATAAATACAGTATAATTATAAGTGTATTGTTTGGTTGCACAAGCGTAATTACACAGTTAGATTAAATTTTAAATATAAAGTTAATTATCAAAAATTAAAAGCTATAATTTAACAAATATATCCCTTTAAAAATAATATTAAATTTGATATTTAAAATAAATATTATTTCTTGAAAATATATTAATTACTAATCATATTTTGTAACTAATATTGTAAAAATAATTGATATATATATTTAGATTAATAATATTTTATTTTAATCAATTATAAAAACTAAAATTACATATTTTGTTAGAATGTCATGGATTACATGCTTGATAAAATGATTAATATTTATAAATATAATGTCGTAACATTACTCATTATTTTATGAAAAAATAATTTATCAATTCTAACTGAAAATTGAATGGCATGCAATCTGAATTAATAAAAGGAATACTATTAAAGCAAATAAAATGTAAGCGAAAACATAACATAAATTCAAAATCCAAAGAAAAAAAAATTGACATAATACTCTTATGTAAAATTACAACATAACATAAAATAAGTTTCAAATTAATTTAAGTAAATATAATTCAAAATAAAAGAAAAACATAAGTCTATAACCTCATTCAACGATGATTCTACTTTAATGACATCACTCATTATATGCTAAGTTTATTAATGATTCATTATTTTTAATAGTAGGAGGAGTAGTTGCAAAACTAGAATAATAGGACAATTATGTTAAACGAAGAAAATAAAATAAAAAATAAAAAATATGAGTGACTATATGGAATCACAAAAAATAAAGATTAGAAAATGAGAATATTATTTAAATATTTAAAAAGTAATCTATCATTTTAACATAGTTAAGTTTGTATATAACCTGGTCCAATAATAAAGTTCAACTTTAATGACATCACTCATTATAAGTTAAGTTTGTGGATGACTTATTTTTTACAAGATTACGATGTATAATTTTTTAGAAAAATAGAATAATAACATAGCTAAGTGTAATAAACAAATAAAGAAAAATATTTAAGAAAGAAATAAAATATGAGAAATTATGTAGACAAAATTTTGTAAGATTATATACTCATTGGTACAGGGTACACGCGCAAAGCGCTGCTTACCCTAAGACTAGTTTGTTAAAAGGAGCAACACAATTAAAATTAGTATTTAAAAAAGAAGAAGCAAGAGGACAAGAATGTCCATTATTGCTTGAGATAAGGAGATCGAAGTTCTCTAAACTGCTTAAGAATACAATGCCATCCATAAATTGTGATTAGTAGAATTTAGATGCTCTAAGATTTTACAAATATGGGCTATCATGATGGCCAATTTTAGAAAGTATCATATGCAGGAAATTCAGTTGGTTAATTAAGCTTCAAGAGAAAAAAAAATAAAAAATCAATAACAATAAAATCGTTGGAGGAAGAAGATAAGGAGATGCCTTGCTTACGTTAAAAGGGCAACCCGATGTACGAAGTATTCTGCGTTCACGTAAAGCTCGGGACGGGCCACATTTCAAGAGGTGTAATGTAGTTAGCATACCCTGATATAACCATCGGTGGCTGATTCCACTGTATGAACCAGTGACTTATAGATATCACGGAAATAACTTTACCGTTGTTCCAAGACCCTATAATGCGTTGCTTATGTTATGCAGCAAAATTTATTTAGATTTTTCCAAACATAAAATTATTGAACTCGAAAGACTGAATATTAGTAGCTGCAAATTTAAACATAGTGATTAATTTGTCGACAGTTTAAAAAATATCTCATGCTAGTGTTTCTTTTTACCACAAAAGAGCTTGAAGTATTGTGGTAGTGGTGGTAGTGAAAACTAAACTTTGTATCACGTTTGTACTATATTTGTTTCCTTTTAATTTTCAAAATAACCCAAGATATCACTGTCATTGTCACCCCAATGTTGTCAAGATAAAACATAATCCAAACGGAAATACAGATAAAGAACCAAACCTAATAGCAGAGGCTGTCCAATTATTGAGTGACAAAGTGGCCAAACTCCCCTACCTCCAACCCCTGCCAAAGATACTTTTATTATTAAGTTTTAATTAAGCTGTTCGGGTCAGCTTCCATTTCGACTAATTAATTTGTTATTTGTTATGTATCCGTTACTTTTATTAATTAAATTTTTAGATAGAATAAGTTGGAGTATTCACCAGGTAGGAGGGGAAAAAAGAAGTCAAAAAACGACAAAAAGAAAGGGGAAATCCAGCAAGCAACAAAGAACCAGATTCTGAGGTAGTTGGCTAATTCAGAATCGAAAAGTCTAAAAGGAGCACCATCTTATTGTATATAGAGCAAAGTGGAGCTGCGCTAGAGAGATTCTAGAGAGAGAGAGAGAGGGGGGAGAGAGAGAGAGCTAAAGGTGGAGGTAGCTCATCTTTTCTTCTTTGCAGTTGCCTTTTGAGCTTTCATTTCAGCTTTCTGAAAGGTTTTTATGGAACTAAACTATCACTTGAGGTATACATACATGAGTTCTTTCTTTTTGAATTAATTTACTTTTCTGGGTCGATTTCTTAGGATTAATCCTGCATACTCTTCATGCTAATTTTAGGGATAAAAATGTCACCTTTTTAATCTTTTTTCAAAGGTTCTTTATGGGAATTTCAAATCTTTCTTCTCCCTTTCTGGTTAAGGATATTTCTTCTTGAAAAATCCCTTCCCCTTGTTTTTTCAACTCACTGTGTGTATGCGTGTTTCTGTATGCTTTGAGACTTGGGAGTGAAAGTTGTGGGTCTGTAGATCTCTTTTTTTTTTTTTTTTTTTTTTTTTTTTTTTTTTTTTTTTTTTTTTTTTGTGTGTGAATGGTTGTTTATTTTTTAATTTTTTTGGGGTTCTTCTATAATTTCTGAGATATTCTTTGTCCGTTACATTCTTCGTAACTGTCAAGGATATAAGCCTAAAACCCTGTAATTTTAGCGTTACTGTGTCGTCTTCCTTGTTAAAACTAGAAATCAAGCAGAAAAATGGACATCAAGGGTGAATAATTCTAATTATCTTGGTAGCTTGCAAAGCAGCTAAAGGAATTAAAAAAGAAAAAAGAAAAAGAAAGAGTATTATGAAATCATTTGGATGATAGATAACCTGAACTTCTGGCTGTTATGTTTCATTGCTAGTGAAAAATTTACCCTTTAGTTTGGTTCCTTCTAGTTCTTGAAGGTTGAATTTGAAAATCAACTCAGATAATGGAATATCAACAAAAGTAATTAAAGGGACCATAACAAATCATTTCCGTGTTTGTCTTTCCCTTTTTATATAGCAGCTGACTGTGCAAAGTGCAAATTTAAACTTACTGCTTGTTTGGATGGTTGTTACCTGTTCTCTAACTGATATCATTTTACTTAAAATGCTTATGGATAAACAAACAACTAAGTAGATTAGACTTGCAAATTTCTTGTGTATTTTGTGTTAGGTGTCACTGCCTTCTCATTGACATGCATCAAAATGCCTCCATCTGGATTTTGTTCTAGAATATTTCTGTTCTGTATGATAAGAAATCATGCAAAGTTCATATGCGCTGATGTGCACTTCTAGTACTATCATATGTTGCTTTGACACTGGATGTACTCAATTAAGTTTATTTTCCTTTTCTTCAGGTTGACAGAGTAATGCTAGAAACATGGGTAAAAAAGGCAGTTGGTTTTACGCCCTCAAAAGGATATTTGCATGCAACTCCAGGAAGAAGCTTACCCATGTAAGTTTATAAAAATCTGAGTCCTTTGAACTTGATATTGTTATATCATTGATGTTAGCTCATAAAGAAATAAACTACTTCAACAATTGATTCAGTTGTCCTTTTTTTTTTTACCTAACTTCTAAAACTAGTTGAGATCCTGTTTTATAAAATGGACCATGATTGCCTTAAATATTACTGAATAGATCATATCAGGACTGGGGGAAGAACTTGCAGGATATCTATGGTTCAAACATTGTAATACAACCCTTACCTTAATTGGATGATTGTTACAGGGATCAGCGAAGAAAAATGCTAAGGAAAAGAAGAAGGCTCGTAGAATACTGAGGCATGGAGAGTTCAAATCATTCCTCTTCAGAGAACCAAGCAGTATTGAGAAAATACTGGGGGAAGTTGATGATCAGAAACTACTTGTTAGGCCTCCTGCTTCTGAACAATCTGGCATTCCATCTGCATTCCCTGTGAAGCCAACTTCTCCGAGAATCAGTTCACCCAGAGCTGCATCTCCTAGGAGTTCTTATACGGCTGCATCTCCTAGTGCTACTTCTCCAAGGATCCCATCTCTGAGGGTTGCTTCTTCAAGCGTCATCTCTCCTAGGGCAGCTTCTCCAAAGGCTACCTCTCATAGGGCAGCTTCTCCAAAGGCTACCTCTCCTAGGGCAGCTTCTCCAAAGGCTACCTCTCCTAGGGCAGCTTCTCCAAAGGCTACCTCTCATAGGGCAGCTTCTCCAAACGCTACCTCTCTTAGGGCAGCTTCTCCAAAGGCTATCTCTCCTAGGGCAGCTTCTCCAAAGTCTCTTTCTCCTAGGGCAGCTTCTCTAAAGGCTATCTCTCCTAGAGCTACTTATCCCGAGGTGAGTGAGAAACACAAAGAGATTAGCTATGCTAACAAACCAGAACCAACTTTGACGCTCCATCTTGCAGCAACCAAGATACAGGCAGCCTACAGACGGCACGTGGTAAGGTTCAAGATAACTCCCTCATGCAATGTTTGGCTGAAAATAGCCTTTAACAATATAGCTCGATTTTTGCGAGCTAGCTAGATCTTGAGTGATAAGTTTAAGTCATGTTATTGCAAACTCATAATTAGCCTGCCAAGTAATCATTTCTATGTCTACTGCAACTATTTATTTCTGACAAAGACAAGCATCAAACAGAAATAATAAATAATTATGTGATAAGCTTTGTGCTCTGTTAAATATTTGTGGCTCTCTTATTAGTCTAAGATTTGGGTGCTTTTTCTGTGGAGAAATTCCCTACTGTATGTTACAGAACCTGGGAACAGGTAAACAAATTTTTATCCCTCTGATCAAAGCATGTTTGAGTTTCATCCAGTGGTTTCAGGGCGCATTTCTACATAAGAAGTTAGTTTCTACCACGGTCGGTCTTATTACTGCAGTTCCACTTGATCTGTATAAATCCTTTGATCTTCTATAATTTTTTCTTTATGATAGTTTGACTTGACCATTGAAGCTTCACGATTCATTCTTACATTCTCAGCTTCTGGAGATCTTATACCTTTGACTATTTCTTTTAGTAGATTGACTGTGAAACAGATAAAATTTAACTGATCGTGAAAAGGCCACTTTCCTCGGCCGAGAACTCCTTTCTTTTTGAAATTTTGACAAAGACAAAGTAACTTGCAGATTATCTGAAATAGGGTATAAAACAAGAGAGATTAAAATTCTTGTAAAAGTAATCAAGACCCCTAATCTTTTTAAATCGTTTTCAAGAAACTAGTGAGTTATCCCCCATTTCCGGTTCTAATAACTTTACTGCTAAAAAATAGTTTTCCTCAATGTCTGAATCATGCTCGTGAAGCATGGAAAATTCAGAGTCTGCAATCATCTGTCACAAGCTTCTTGAAAATTCGAGTAATTTAGTTCTTATCAACTTGTGAGAAAACTTTATATGTCAAATTAAACAATATAGAGTTGTGTGTCCTAATTGTTACTCGTCTTGATTTAAGTAGGGGGTGAATAGAAATTCATTGTTCATAAAAAGATTAAAAAGAAAAACATTAGAGTCCTTTCCCATTTTCTCCCTTTCCCGGAGCAGTTCATATTGGTGGGACAAGAATGTATTTGCTTCCAAAGAGAGTATATCAATTGCTAATAATAAAGTGTGGAAACACTATAGATCCTCCTAATTTGGGAGGGAATTAAAAAAAAAAAAAAATTGCTATTAATAATTGTTGTATGTCCTATGTGAATGTGCTCTGCTTCACAGGGAAGGAGGAGTTTCAAGTCTTTGAGGGGTTTAGCAAGACTTCAAGGAGTGGTCAGAAACAGAAATGCAAAGCGGCAGACAGTAAATGCCATGAAACAAATGCAGCTTCTAGTTAGGGTTCAAATGCAAATTCAGTCAAGGAGAACTCAGATGTTCCAGGCACTCCAAAGTCAAGCTTACACGAATGATAAAGAAGCTGAGAGCACCCTAAGCAAATGGACTAAGTTGGTAAGTTTAAACTGCTAAATATCTTGAGGTGCTCACCTATTTAGTGGTGGTGATTTAGGCTGATGCCATATCTTGGAGTCACTGTTTGCCTACATTCTTGAGTTGATTTAATTTTATTCAATTAAATTGTGTGTTTTTCCTCATTGTTGGTGCTTTTACTCCTTGATTATCTTGTGAAAGAATTGATATGTTCTTCCGATGGTCAAAGATGGTATGCAACTTCTTCAACAATGCCAATTTAGATTCTAGGATTCGCTTTGTACATATACTGTGGTGTAAAGGATGTGAGAGTTATCGAATTGAAGTTCTTTTCTTTTTCAAACATATTTTGAATTACCTCTGATGTTGAAAAGGAAATTTTGGTTTAGACCGAGGCAGGTAACCATGATGATTGGGATAATAGTGTGCTAACTAAAGAAGAGGTAGAAGCAAGGCGTCGAGAAAAAGTGGAGGCTGTAATCAAGAGGGAGAGAGCAATGACCTATGCATATTCTCACCAGGTACGAGCTTATGTCCTTTAGCAAGTCAAGAATCTGTGGTGGGAAAGAGGTAACCATTGGTGTAAATTTGCTTTTATCATGCCAGAAATTCATCGTTCTATTTCGTGCAACCTGTGGAAATGCCAAGTTACTGAGATATTTTTTCTTAGTGTTTCTCTTGCTTACCACTTCTTTTCTATACAAATCACAGTACTAAGTTCACCATTACAATTTCTCGCCATCTGTTTCGCCAAGTTATTTAGATATTTTCTCTTAACAGTTCTCTTCTTACCAAGTCTTTTATATAATATAAATCCTGGTACTAAGTGCATTACAATAATTCTCGCTGTTTGTTGCTCTTGTTGTTTTTGGCTAATTTTAAGTCAGCGCCTTTGCACTTGAAAGACTTCCAAAACAAAATTCACTTGTGCAAATTACCACAAACGTCAGAACTTTCAATTATGTTGTTTCAGCTTCCTATTAGTGATTCTGGCAATAAGAGCAAGGTAGAACACCTAATATCACATTTTGTTCAAAGTACTTGATCATTGTGTGTTATTCTTGGTTTAGACTTGTTGACAAAATACACTCTGTTACTCTATGATGGTTTACCGTGTCTGCAATACCTCTTTTTTCAGTTATGGAAAAGCAACCCCAAATCAATTGTGGACATCCGAGCTAGTGGAATTCCTTGGTGGTGGAACTGGTTGGATAACCAGCTACCTCCAGGAAATGATTCCGAGAGCCAATCTGCTGTGAAAGACGTCCATCTAACGCCACCAAGGACAATTTCAGAGCACAAACCAAGTCCGTGGCGTCTAAGTCATAACTTCAGACACCTCCATTTGGATAATGACAGTCATGAATCGGTTACACCGAGGTCAACTAAGTCCGCAGTTCCACTAAGGGGCAAACTAATGCATACTCCCAGAAGAACATCATCACCAATGAGCAGTACGAGCATATCAAATTACTCAAGACGCCGAGCTAGTGCTGCTAATTCCCCTTTCAGTCACTCCTTCAAGGATGATGACAGCCTCACGAGCTGTCCTCCTTTTTCAGGTCCCAGTTACATGTCACCAACCCTCTCAGCCAGAGCTAAATTCAGAGGAAAAAGCATTCCTGAGGAGAGAAACGCAGGTACTACCCCATCAAACAGTTCAAGGAGGAGGTTATCATTCCCTTTGACTCCAAGATCTGGCAAAGATGCTACTTCTCTAAGGGATCACGACCCTACGGGAGATCATATGAGCGTGGGTTCTACTGCCTCGACGTCCTCTGTAGTTGGAAGGAAACCATTTAACAGATTTGTGTGATTATATATCTTGTATGACTTCTTTTGACATCTGTATTTAGCTCTGAACGTGGTGGTTTTTCTTTTTTTCTTTTGATGTGTATTTATTGGTGTATGATGTTCACAGAATACTGATGTAAAATAATGAAGTATGTCAATCTAGACGGTTTTGCAAAGATTCAGTGTATTCTCTTTATTAAGGGAAAGAAATTAGGTGTTTCAATGTTCATATGTTTGAACACAGATGTTTATATTTTTTGGCTGTAAGATGTTAGAATGTTATGACACAATTTGCTAGTACTACTAATCTCGGGTGGGGGGGGGGGGGGGTTGGTACGAGGAACTTATCATGAATCCACTGATTTCTGCCGCTTCCGTTATTGCTGCT